AAAAAAATTATGTTTTTTTTTTTTAAAAGGTGAATTTAAAAGGAACATTTAAGTTAAATTTATTAGCAAATTTACTAAATTGGTGCTTTCATTTATTGACAATTACAGATTTATCGAAGGCTAATTTATGTTATAATAATATCCCTTCAAAAACACACATTCCAAACATGTCAAAAACATAAATATTTAGTTTGATTGTTAAGCTCTCCGTTTCACACAAACACACATATAGTAAAATATATACAATTTTTTTTTTTTAATAATACCACTGACATTCAGTTTGGTTCGGAGAAAATATTGATTTCGTATTTTATTATTTTAAAATATTTCATATTTCTTTTACTTATAATAATATACAATATTTAAAAATTGGTACATATAAATAATTATACACCGTGAATGTATTTATATTGAATAACATATAAATTAAAAAAAGTATATACTTATATATGTATATACACTTGTGTTACCGTGGAATCCCGACTGTTAGCTCCTCACATTCTTTTAGATAGATGTTTATGATTCATATTCACGCTGTTGCAACCACACAAAATCCGATGACCGAATCGTCGCATTCAACTTTATACAGTTGATTATATACATACGTTAATTGGAATAGAGATTTAATGCATCTCTTTTTTCTTCAATATATAATTTAGCAATATATACATATACATATATATAGAGAGAGAGAGAGAGAGAGTGTGTGCGTGTGAGCTTTGGGTATTTTATTATTAATTTATTCTTTGTTAAAATGCGAACTTTACGTAAAAGGCCTATTAAATTTATAGAATTACTAGGCTGATAATATCAAAATTTCTAAATAATTAATTAATTTTTAATTTAATAAAAAATATTTTGACTACGAATATAAAAATAATAAAATAAAATTAAAAGTCTTTTTTTAGCGGGTTCGAGGCGCAGGAGATTAGGAAAAGCTGACCCACTTTCTCGTTCAATGTTCATCATCTATTTTATAATTAAAAAATAAATAAATAAATAAAGTCCACTCGTTTTTTATTAAATAAATATTTCATGTGACACAATTGTATGACGAACATGAACCATTATATATCTCACCTATTGCTGGCCAGTTTTGTTATTTAGTAAATAAACCCTATTTACTAGCAGTACACAAATTTTAAAATAACTAGCAATCTTAGGGGGTGATTCTATAAACCCCAATCAAGGGAACCCAAATTCTTCATTGATACATATTTTATATGTCCCATTGATTTATTAGAAACGTGTAAATACCTAATTACCAGAAAAAGTCAAAAGACTTTAAAATGATAAATCTTTTAATATAATTTAGGATTTATAATAATAATTGGAAGTAAATAAACTAAAAATGGAGAGACCAAGTATTGAAGAAGACAAATAAAAAAAAAAAAAAAAAAAACCATTATTAATGATGACTGAAATTCAGTGGTGGGGCCTAACTCCCAATCTTGACTTTTTATAATCCATCCATAACAATAAATATCTCTCTTACAATTGGGCCCCACATAATTTCACTACAAAAAAAGAGGTAAATAAAGGCCCCATTTTCATATTATGGCCTCCCACCTACGTACCAACACACTTTTGCAAGGACAAATCTCCCCCCCCCCCCCCATCCCTATAAAATTTCAAAATTTTTATCCGATACTCCAGCGTACAAACTCAGGATTCACATTTAACACGCCTCCAGTTTAACTAGAGATGCAGTCCAGTAACTTGAGAAAAACAATAATGAAAAAAATAAACACACATGGAATCTTCCAAAAAAATAATAATAATAATAATTTGTTTAGAAAATTCTTTTTCTTGTAAGAGAGAAAATATCTACGGCAGACAGATTGTACATCTCCCTACATCACCTTCTGAAGCAGTTGAGTATTGAAGAGGTGATTGCTGAAGAAAGGAACTTCAATCCGGCAGATCCTCCAGGGAAGTAGGAAAGAGCATAGTATGATAGTGCAACAACCTGCCAAGGTTTGCAAACGGCTTCAATTTCTACTGCCTTGAGCTTTTAACAAGCATAATTTGATCAAGAAAAGAAAAAGACAAGTAACCTAAGAACACAATTTTTAACTGATGCATGAAATTCAAAACTCAACCTGGCATATGGAGGGATGATGACTGATCAATTTATTGAGTTAGTTAGTTAAGCTTAAGAGACGTCTATGTTGCCATATTTCTTATGGGTTAGCTTAGCTTTAGCTTGGTGTCTTGAAAACCAGGAGGAAAATATAATGTTGGCACCCAATACCCCAAGGACATAAAAGAGCTTGCTGGCATAAGGGGAAGCCTTCCTACAACTACCTATTTCTTGTTTCTGTTGGCATATACAGATTTTAGCTCAATCCGTCAAGCTTTTAAACCAAGCACACTGCCGGCACCCAAATTGACAGGTGCAGTGGACTTATACCTATGTGAGATCAATTGACTACACGTAAAGAACGCTAGTAAGAACAAACAACACCGAATGTAAATGATTGTATTAATACCTGTAAAACAGAAAAGAGAACAGAGAGAATATAACTGTGAAGCACCATTGAAACATATATGGTTCCCACCATGCTGCCCACAAACCCCAACGTAAAGGGAAGCCTCTGAAAGTGAGAACAAAAATATACATTTTTGAATAATGTGGAATAGGTTAAATAATAATAAATTAGTTGTTCTGAAGTGGATTAATCTAAATATACTCGAAACTTTTAAGGGACGAGAAACACAAATAACTAACTAAGTTACCTCTTTAGATGACATGTGAGCAAACTGAGTTCTTGGACCTTTCAAGGCAAAAAAGGAGCCCACAATGAAAGCACAACCGATGGTAAAGCAGATTGCAAATTTCTGAGGCACCAGAACTATGACAGGAAGGAACATGGTGAATGCAATGAAGACAAAGAACACCCCAGCAGCAAGGAACAATCCAAAGTACATCAAAGATTTCCCAGAAGGTATATTGCTAGTTGTAGACTGAAAACTTCCTGGTAAGTCCCTGACTCCTTTAGAAACCCTGAATCATTTATCCAAGACCCACTTAAAGTGATTCATGTATCACAATCCAACAATGACCATTCAATCTTTAAATCAATGGGCTATGTGATGAATATTCAAATGGGCAATCAAATGTGTAAAATATTCCTGTTTTAGGGCCAAGCAGAAATAGCATGGACTCACAGGCATTATATCTACTAATTTTAGTTTTTCAATAGTAATTTGCTAAAGAATCATTCTTACACTTGATTCTTTCTCATGTTCAATTCTCATTCCATTCCTAACTGTTCCTACATTTCCAGTTTCATTTTCATACTATTTCTTTGTAAGTAGAACTCTAAAATAACTTCATGTTTAAGCAACATTTTTACCTGCCTTGAATTCCTTGTATGAAATTTCTCATTACTAAATTTGAAAATTTCAACACTGAGAATGAAAGCAGTGGTGATTTTTATATTGAAAATCTAGCAAGACTAATTTAAAAGCTCAGTAGGAATTAACTAACATGAAAATGGAATTCAACAGTAAGTGAAAACAATGGAGATTTTTATGTTGAACTTGTAGCAAGGCTAATTTAGAAACCTAGTAGGAATTAGCTAAACATGAAATGGAATTGAACCAACCAACTTAATTGTAAGGTTATGGCTAGACGCAAATTCTCGTCATTATTCTTTACATTAACTAATATATTATACATTAAAAATAAAGAGAAAAAGTCCCAAAAAAAAGACAATACAGGTAAAAACACACAGAACAACTATTCCGATAACCTAGATCGTGAAAATCCCCAAAATGTTAAATTCCAGTGAAACAAGCATAGTAATTCTGGTACATACTGCAACATATATGCATACAGAACTATAGACGCAGGTATTTACAGCGAGATATAGAGAGAGGAAGGTCAATGGAAGGTACACGTTGAAAGTGCCGGAGACTTTATTGGAGGTGGTACGGACGGCGGCCTCGAGGTCAAAACCGAGGCCTGCGGAATCGGAGTCTTGAGAAGCGGCGTATGCGTTCCAATCGGCCACCAGAGATGAGGACGTTGTGGTCGTTGATTTATCGCTCAAGCTGCTGGGCCCACCCATGAACCACGATTGCGCCGTTTTCTGCATCGTTTTTCCGTCGTCTTCTTCTTCAGAGAGATGAATCTAAGAAGCTCGATTAGAGCTTATAGAAGGGTTTGATGGAGAAGAATCTTCGGTTTTTCGCTGTGAGGATGACAGGAATTGGCCAGAAATGTGTCCGAAGCAGTTACCAATGGCCACCTTCTCTTGATCTCACGTTCCGTCTTTCAGATTAAGGAAACTGAAACTATGGATTTTCTTTTCCGTTGATACTACGGTAAAAACAATCGGGGGCTGTTTCCCAGATAACATGAATTACTTTTTACCTCTCCCCTTGTTTCACAGATTCACGCACACGGATATTATGTTCTATATTTTCCATTGTCTGCCATACTTGGAACATATGAATTTACAGTAAGATATGGAATTATTAGTTATAAACATATTTTTACATTCGATATTATTTGGAAGATTAAATTTTATTATAAGATTAAATTTTTAGACTTACTTTTATTTATGATAATTATATATTTATATATATAAAGTAAATATTTAACATACTTTTTTAAATAAATTACAACAAATAAAATGCCACTTCAAAATTATTTATAAAAAAAAAAAAAAAATTACATCTGTTAAGATCTTCTGAATTAATCAATTGGGAAAGGAGCAGTGCTTAGTGAGACCCAGAAACTTGAGCGCCTAAAAATTGTTTCCCTTCGCTGCAACTCGCAATTGCAGACGAGACAAGAGAAAATGAAGGTGGCTCCGAAGATCATATTCTTATTTAGAGACCCCGAGGGATTTGGGACAGCCATTGCAGAGAGTCTTAACCCTAATCCTAACTCCACTCTTCGCAGACAGTAAGTAAACCCCCCTTTTATTTTCTCCTATTATCATATCTTTCATGAGTGCTTAAATGTTCTCCATTCACAGAGATGAATCTTTCGAGCTCTCGTTGGAGCACTACGGTATTAAAGATCACAAAGCGAGCGGCAACATTCTTCATTTTATCGATGATGATGACATTTATCGGGTATGCTCTTGTATCTTTAGCTTCCCGCAATTTGTTCAACGTACTAGCTATTTGTTTGTCTATGGGTACTCTCGGTTGATGTTTACGGCCTTCACTGTTGCATTCATACTTAGAAATGAGGAATCCTATTAAGGTCTGATTCTGGAAAAGTCATACTTATGCTAGTTAGATAGTCATCTTGTTCTGATTTTTTGCCTTCATCAAACAAAAAGATGTTTTCCAGCTGGTTAGTCAGTAGTGGTGCAGTGATGTGGATGGATGGAATATGTGGCACATTTGCAGACTAGTTGCAGATTGGACTTTCACGTCTTCTGGCTTTATCTGTGGCACCTCCGATCCAATGCTATTAGCTGTAGCTTCTCTAGAAACCCATGTGAGGGTTCATTGTTTCTAGTAATCTCAAAATTTGATGGATTTATTCAAGAACCATTGTAGGAGTCTAGTCTATCTTGAAATAAGCTGAAAGAGTCATTGGGCCGCTTATAGAGCAATTTTCAATAGCTGTTCAGTAAATGCACATTTGGGTGCTGAACAGATCCATCCATTGTATTACAGATGCCTACATGGGTGATCAGGTGTTAGACTATTAATTAGCTAACTGCAACAGACTTTGTCAATGCCATACTTTGCATAGTGTCCCTATGGTGTCTCTGAAGTTTCAATTTTTAGATGATTTAAGTTTAAAATGAGGCTTTGAATTGTACTTCCCCAAATTGAGTGTCAATGAAATTTCTGTGCTACTGTTTTCGACTTAATAAGAAAACAGTAATAGAAGGAAGTAAGAAATCTAGGCACCTTGTGGAAGACTAGAACTGTTCCCATAGAAGATTAGCTTTGATGAGCATGGCTTGTAACTGAGGTTGCCTATGGTAGATTATGTTAAAAAATCTATATTTTTTTGCACATTTGTTTTATTTAGTTTGTCATAGTTTTTAAGAGTTTAGAGCAAAGAGTGGGTGATATTTAGTTATTTTATTTATTGCAGAGAGTTGGTGATTTTTTAGTTATTGTATTTATTGTTAAGAGTTTGTAGTTTTTTAGTTATCTTATTTAGTGCACAGAGTGGGTAGTTTTTTTTAATTATTTTATTTAGTGTAGAGAGTGTGTGGTTTATTTCTATTATGTATTTGTCTATTTAAATAGTTTCAGTTATTTGAATAAAGGTAGAGACAAACATTTCTCATTTTCAAGCTCTCTTTCTAATTTATGTTCTTCCTTCTCTTCTTGTAGTTAACAGTGGTATCAGAGCCAGCCAAAATTAAAATTGGAAAACACACAACAGTGCACAAATGGCTTGTGTAAATTTTGTGCAGCCTACTTTTCTATGTTTTGATGGTTATTATGATTATTGGAGCATGCTAATGGTCCTAATGGTTATATGCAAACTGTTGGCAATTTGATTTTTTTTTTGAGATAAAAGTAAGAAGATATATTAAAGAGATGCTAAGGGGGTGAACCCGTGTACAAAAGAAATTTACAGGTCAGTAAGAATATCTGCAATATAACCAAGATCATCAAAAGAAACAAGGTTATGACTAAGAACAGTGGAACCAAAAAAGTGCAACCGCTTGTCCTTGATAGAAGTAGTATTAGTTTCTCTGCTTTCAAAAGTTCTGTAGTTTCTTGTCCTTGATAGAAGTAACTGTTAGCAATTTGATGTATTAAAGTGCAACAAAACCAGACATAATTCTGTTGTGAATCTAAATAAGCATATATATGGATAATCCAATAGAGATGCATTTGTTTGCTGCCAAGAGAATCTTTCGTTATTTGCAAGGAATTAAAGATTTTGAATTGTTCAACAAAACGAAAAAAATTGGATTTGTTTGGATTTACTGATAGTGATTTTCTAGAGATCAAGATGATAGGAAGAGTACTTCAAGTATGTTTTATGATGGGTACATGCATTGTTTCATGGTCATCCAAGAAGTAGCCAATTGCCACCTTGTCAACAGCGGAAGTAGAATTTTTCGCTGCAACAGTTTGTACTTGTCAACAGAGAAAATTTCTTGAAGAACTACACTTCAAGTAAGAGGGAGCTACTACAATGTTTTGTGATAACAACTCGACCATCAAACTATCCAAAAATCCTGTGCTG